ACCACCGCCGATGAAAAATAACGTAGACCAAAAGGATCCAAACCAAAGACACACGAACAAAGACGAACAACGACCAGATCCAAGCAAATCCACCAAAGATAGATCTGCCGGAGACACACCTCCACACGCCCACCAACGATGCTAGACGCACCGCCGGAACGGGGGCTAGGTGGTGAGACCTTTATTCCATCTTCAGGGAGCCGCCGCCGTCTCGCCTTCTTGAGTAGCACACAAACCCTAACAAGATTGAAAAAAACGACTAAAAACGGAGCCCTCCCGCCAGCCCTTGGCAGGATCCACTGCGCCTCCATGGCCCTAGGGCCACCAGAGACGAGGCGGACCTGCGCCGGCGCCGGCGAGAGGCACGAACCCTAACTTTCTTTCTTGGAGGAGGAGGAGGAGGCGGAAAATCACTCGCAGTATAAATAGCATGCATATGTGTATGTCTTTTACCGACTAAAAAAATTACCACTAATTATCACTAGGAAACTATTTACTGATACATAAACTATTTTACTGATGATTAACAAAAAAAAGTCGTGCTCTAAATTACAAAGAAAGTCACCAGGCTATACTCCTAAAACTTATGTAGGTCAAGGCAAGTGTGTAAAAAGAGTACTTGTATCAATGATATATATACAAACATGGCAAAAGTTTATTGCCCATATGGCAAATGATGTATGTCCAGCAAAAACATTTAAAATTAGTGGAAAAATACAAAGGTAGATCATGATAAAATGTGGATAAAAAAGAAAAGTACTTGTAAATTTCCAAGAGCATGGCAAAAGCGCGTATTATATATGAAAATGACTTATGGGAATCTGCAAATATATTTTGACAAAAATTCCATGCTCTTTGTTATAACATACAGGTCACATGCATCGAAAAATGAACTTGCCAATGTAGAAATAATATAATTGTCTTGTAATATTGCAAAACTTGTCTCATGACGTTTTGGTTCCCGGGTGCATTTGCTCCCACATGAACAGTAAAATATAAACAAATTGTATTTTTCAAGAAAATCTGAATTTTTTTAGATGTTTCTATTAGTGTCGCTAGCGTGCTTGACAATTTTCATGCGAAATGGAGTAGCACTGTTTTGTCTGTGAAAAAACAAATCTGGGTGTAACATTTGGGGCAAACATTTGGTGTTCAATATTTTTTTGTGCAAGCCAAAATGCTTAACCTTTTACCTACAATTTTGCAGGTAGCATTTTGATGTGACTATGAACATAAAAATTTTGCTTGTATTTTTTTTGACATTTTAAAAATTATTTTCGGCTCAGAGGAGCACGAGCACGATTGAGCCGAATTGGATTTCTGAACTTATGATAACCGACTATGAATCATTGCGCATAACCTGATCTATACCTACTGCAACTCAAAACCCACAAGTAAGTACTCCCTCCGTAAACTAATATAAAAGCATTTAGAATACTAAAATAGTGATCTAAACGCTCTTATAATAGTTTACAGAGGGAGTAAAATATTTCTTCTCCACCCATAATTAAGACCGTTGTCTCCATCATCACGTAACCGGTTGTTGGTTGGCCCCTGTCATGCGTGTATGTAGTACAACAAACAAGTGGAATTTAACGTCCCTAAAAAAAGTGGCATTTAACGAATACAATCTTGTCGTGGTATGTTTGTCATTAGTCCTTCACTGTAATCCCTCCGGTCCTATTTACTCTGCACGTTGGATTTGTCGAAAGTCAAACTTAGCTAAGTTTGATCAAATTTATATTAGAAATTATTAGCATCTATAATATCTAATAAATATAATATGAAAATATATTTCGAGATGAATCTAATGATATTGGTGTTGTTATGTAAATGTCAATAATTTTTTATATAAACTTGGTCAAAGTTGAATGAGATTGACTTCAGACAAACCTAATATGCATACTACCTCTCTCTCAGTTTACAGGGCGTGCACCCACGCTGATAAGTTAGTATATGTATTCATATTTGGTCATGACATAAGGCTAGTCATAGTGACGAGTAACTTAGACTAGGGTCATCATATGACACTAGTCCATATTACCTTCATAGTGCAAAGTATCATATAGGTATTATGACAGATTATTGCATTTATTAGATTGTACTCATTTTTTTCTTGAGAAAGGCTATGTGATGGTAGCATAGTGGGTGCTTGGATACGTTTTAGTCCCACGACTAAAAAATAGTGGGACTAAAACTTGCTAGCCTCATCCATGCTTGAATCCAAATACTAAAAAGACTAAAATCAAGTTATTGAGCATTTATTATCCTTCAAACCCTCCAATCCAGAAACCGCATGTGTTAAAGGAGAGGAATTAAATGAGGAGAGAGAGAGGGCTAATACATATTTTAGTAGGTTTCCTATGACTAAAAAATTCTAGCCTCAAGACTAGTCCTAACCTCTCTTTAGTCAGGGGTGCTTAGAACTTTAGCCTCTAAAAAAGACTATTTTTAGTCAGACTAAAAATAGTCCCTTGAATTCAAGCACCCTCATAGTATGTTAGAGCATCTACAACCACAGTTGCCTAATATGAGGCCCTATATGGCCACGGACGTGAACCATAGTCCTCATATGCCCGCACCCACACCCATACATTGCAAGCAACAACGTAAGCAACATAAAAAACGTAGATCAAAATCAGAATATATCAAACGAGAAATATAGATACATTTTGCGTCGGGCATAGTGCATCGGACACCCTTCATCGGACCCAAAAGACATAGTTCGCTGGATTATACTAGATATAAAATAGACATAGAGCTAGACGATGCGGAGACCACCATTTCTTGGCTAGTCCTTTGCCCTTGCGGTCACTGGTGGGGCGGTCCATCTCCGTGTAGGCGTCCGTGGCAGGAGGATCTTCGCCGCCGTCCGTGCTAGTGGTGCCGCTCTCCGACAATGACGAGATGTAGCTGGAGAGGCAGCACACGGTGCAGGACTGCTTCTTCGCATGCCGTGGCGCATTGGCCTTGGCGTTCTATTTCTCCTTCACGAGGCGCTTCGAAGCTTCAAATCCTGATCCGAAGCGTCTTTGCATTTTTCACCGGGCGTGTCTACCGTCCGTCTCCGCCGTGGTTAGCGAACGGCGCATGACCTCGTGGAGGAGCTATTCCTCCGGGTCGACAGGGATAGAGTGGGCACATTGGCGGGAAGAGCCGGACTCTGCCTCAGCCCGCTGCCGCTCGTGCAGGGCGGCCTTTGGTCTCCGACTCTGGCATCTGCATCCTCACGGGAGCCGCGTGCAGAAGGACCTAGAATTGCCCGGGAGGAGCTGCTGCCAAGGGCGAGAGGATTGGGCCGCCCTACTCCGGATCTGGAGGCGTGCAGAGTGGGACGGGTGAGCCTATTGGAGCACTTTGGCGTGGCGGGGCCGGGGGGAGCCGGTGGCGGACGTCGTGGAGTTCGAGCTCCCGCCGTTGTCCAGCCCAATCAATCAAATGACCAGTCTAACCCAATCAATTTGAATTTATTTTGTATTCATGAGAGAGGTCACACCAATCCTACTCCGCTTATATATTGTAATTCCTATATTGGGCCACCATGATAGAGACCTCAAAATAAATGTGCATGCCAACAAATTAAAAAGAAGACATTAAGCTTGTTGTGTTCCATCATGTAACCGTTTTTAATGTTTGTAGCAGGTAGGAACCCAGCTGGAAGAACCTGCTTACGTAGTTATCTTTTGGAGCATCAAAGTGATAATTGTTGTGACTAGCTTAAATAAGAGGTAATATCACTGGATAGTAAATTTTTAGTTTTTTTACACGTCCGGCAAGTGGTAGCAACGTTTGCCTGTGTCTATACGGATGGTAAACCGGCCCAATTAACAGCAGCAATACGCCCTCAAGGGCAAAAAGGAATCATTATATGTTCAATAAACGAGGCACGAAATTATATGTGAAGGGACTGAAAATTTTGCAGAGAACCTATAAGAAGGACGAAACCAAGAATATCACCTTGCTTTATTATTAGTAAAAAAAAGGGTAGGTGCAATGTGCGTTGCATGCATGGCAACTCAAAAAGGTATTACTGTGTAGGCTAGTTCTGGACGATTAGGAAGTGATCGGGCTTGCCGGTGATTAGTTTAGGGAAGTGTCCTGGCTTTGTAAAGCCACGTGTGAGTCAAAATAGAAGTGCTAGTCGTGCTGTGTTAGGAAAGCTACTTTTGTATTGGAAAAGTACTAGTTCGTGTTAGCTGTTGAGTCCTAGTCCGTGATTAGGGGTGGGATTACCGAGTTGCTCGACTCGTTCAGCTCGCGCTCGTTAAAGCTCGGCTCGTTAAGCTTGGGTCGGTTGATTTTGCGCCTATTAGAGGGTACGAGACGTACCCTTGGCAAAAGTTTTTGTTCGCGTGCATTCGTGTGTTTCGATGTGATCGACACTTTGGGAGAGTTCCAACAATCTAGTTTCAATCAATTAAGAACACGAGAACACTCGTCGGAGAGTAAGTAGCGCATGGCGTAACTGGAAGGTGCACACATTGAAACTGAAAGTATTGGTTATCTTCATCCATCAGAACAACACTGAAGTGAAGACGTAGAGAGAAGACAAAACACCCTACTAACCGTAATTGGCTACACAACTACTGTGCCGATGATTTCACATGGATTTCTGGGCATTCTGCATAAATTATATATGGGTTCATCAAAGTATGTGCTCCCACGGTTTCTTTTTGGCCAGCATATAAAATTTGGTCAATGTCAAACTACACAAAGTTTGACCAAATTGATATCAAAACGTATGAACATTTACAATACTACTAAAACTGTATAGTATGAGTATACATTTCATGGTTCATCTGATAATATTGATTATTTATATTGTGAAGGTTGATGTTTTTATTAATATAAAGTTAGTCAAACTTTACAAAGCTTGACTTTGACCAAACTTTATCTGCAGACTAAAAAGAAACAGAGGGAGCAAATAGGAGAGGTCAAAAGGGTTGCATCAACTTTGTGCAAAACAATATTACATTAAAGTTTCCGCATTACAGTTTTTCTTAAAATATACTCCCACCTAGTGAGTTCTGACGAAGGTTGAGTTCCTCGAGTTGAGTACAACTTCCTATACTTGCAGGTATCCTTCCACTAATGTTGTTCTCATCCAGTTTCAATGAAATTAGCTTAACAAGATTACCAATAGTATCTGGGATTTGCCCTGACAGTTTGTTGTGTGCAAAAGATAGATGGACCAAGCGGTGCAAATTACCAATAGTTGGTGGTATATTTCCAGTGATAAGATTGTAATCCATGTAAACCCTAGTGAGGCTCTTAAGATTGCCAATCTCTTGTGGTATAGGCCCAGAAATTTGGTTTTCCCTTAGCCAAAGCCACTCAAGACTATCAGAAAGATTGCCTATCGAACTTGGCATTTTGCCTTGAAGATTGTTCCCAACCAACAGCAGCTTAGTCAACCTGGTACAATTTGCGAGTGAAGACATAAATCCCCAGTTTCCTGTTGCTAGCCTGTTGTATGACAAATCAAGTTCCTCCAAATTTGGCAATGACCCAAAGAAGGGTATGAACCCAGTTAGTGTGTTGTTATACAAGTAAAGCTGACGAAGGTTGTAAACTTTTGGAAGAGAAGCTGGGATTGGGCTTTCAAACTTGTTTGTTGAGAGCACTAATGTCTGAATATTCGGGAGTGTGTAGCTAATATTAGGGGGTAACCTTCCAACAAGCGAGTTGTTTCCTAGGCTAAGAAATGTCAGAGATGACATATTGAAGAGAGATGGTGGAACTGTCCCAGACAAGTTGTTGGCAGTCAATGCCAGTATCTGCAGAGGTGAGATATGACCTAAGCTCTCTGGTATGCTCCCGACTAAATTGTTCCCCGTAAGACGAAGATCCACAAGGGAGGAAAGGTTCCCTAGTGAGGAAGGTATTTTTCCTGAAATATGATTATCACTTAAATCGAGGTATTCAATAGGGGGAGAGGTGGCAGTAACAACAGGTATGGAACCAACAAGGTTGTTCTGTTGGAGGGAAATGTCAACAAGAGATGATGAGTTGAAGAGAGCCTTTGGCAGTTTTCCACCAAGACTATTGCCATTGAGCCAAAGTATTCGGAAGGATGAACTATATGCCAGGGACTCCGGGATGACCCCTGTTAGAGCGTTCACCCCAAGATTGACATATGTGAGAGAAGGGCTGGTGCCCAAAGATGGCGGTATGTTACCTTCCAAATTGTTCCTGCCGAGGTTGAGCTCACGGAGACGGCGCAGGAGGCCAATCTCCGATGGTATGCCACCACTGAAGTTGTTGTTTGACAGCTGCAGCCTTGTAATAGAAGTCAGGTTAGCAACGCAAGGTGATATGGAGCCTGATATGCCTTCCGACTCGAGGTCCAGCGCAATCACACGGCGAGGATACGGTTTGCTGCAGGTGATCCCATGCCACTCGCAAACATCAAAGGACTTATTGCTCCATGAAGCTAAAACTCGTGCTGGGCCTGAGAGTCTGGACTTGAAGCAAAGGAGGGCCTGTCTATCATTTTCAGTTTCCTTGCAGATGGCTAGTGGTAGGCTGCAAAGGAAGCAAAAGAGGTATAGAAACCAAACAAAGCTTGGAAACAAGACAGCGGAAGATGGCATGGCTGTGGTAGGTTACGGCTATGGAGTGTAGAAATCAAAGTTCTCATGTGCAGGAGGATGTCTAAGTACTCGGCTGTGGAGTGCGACGGCATGAATATATATTCACGGCTCAGCCATCAATATGGTGTGGTGTGAACGGGGATGATGCAAGCAACACGACTTGCTTTTGAATCGATATCGGATTCGGCGTCCATCGAAACTAGTGCTTGCCGACTGAAATAGTTTTGACTTGGAGGTGGTTGTTCAAAGCCAGACTTGCGAAATGAAATACTCCAACGCCAACTACTCCCTCCGTTCTTTTTTATAAGACGTTTTGGACAGCTGACATCGAACTGTCTTGTGCTCTGTCTAAATTGTCTAAACGTCTTATAAAAGAGAACAGAGGGAGTAGTTGGTGTTGTGAGCATGCATTTGGAATGCATGTAGTTGCCTGAGGTGCAGTGTGAATGCACGCTTCATCTTGAAGAATAATGAGCTAAAAGTGGAGAAAACTAAATATATGTACTAACATCTTGGACACATCTGGGTTGGTGGATAGCATATACTAGTCATGTTTTTCCAATGCAGTGACGTTGGCGATGAGGCCCGCCGCTCAGATTTTTCCTATATGTAGGGGATCAATCCTTCACTTGACTCTCAACCTAGTACCAAGTTGCACCTTGAACTCCCCCGCAAAAAAAGAAAAAGTTGTACCTTGAACTGAGACGAAGGTAATTTAGCCAGCTATGGCGTCTGCTGAAACAGGAGGCGACAAGTACCGGTCGTTCATGGACGGCCAGGGCGAGAAGAACACTGTGTGGAGGCATGGAGTCCCTCCCAACTTCGACGTCGTGAACAAGCTCTTCGAGGAAGAGAGGACTAAGGTACCCACAATATGTTGTTCCACGAGTACACACACCCCCTGTGCTTCTTCTATGTGTGTCGGAACGAAATGTACTTATTTTCAAACATGATTTGTTCACGCGTACATGATTAACGCCGCATGCGTGCGCCACAGGAATGGGCGGAGGGGAGTCTGGAAGAGAAGGTGCAACGGTTGCTCAAGACATGGGAGATGGAGATGTTCCACAAGGTGCGCCCCGAGGACCAGAAGAGCGTGCACTCCCAGGGATTCACCAGCAGCACCAACGGTGAGGCGTCATATACTTCGTCGTTCGGTCCATCGATCTTTCTTGCCACATAAGACACCAACACTTTTCATCAGGGATGAAGCCTCTGACCCGAAAGGAGTGGACGGCCATCGGCGGCTACAACGCGTTCCTGGCAACCAAGCTGCCGCTGGAGCACCGCATCTACGACCCGGACACGGAGACGTTTGACTCCGGCATGGAGACGTTCCTCACGGTGTTCCCCCAGGGCTTCGCCATCGAGGTGCTCGACGTGTACTGCACCGGCCCGCCTAGGGTGGCCTTCAAGTTCCGGCACTGGGGATACATGGAGGGGCCGTTCAAGGGCCACCCTCCACACGGCCAGCGTGTGGAGTTGTTTGGCGTCTGCATTTTCCATGTAAGTTTGGCATGCAGCTTGGTATATACTCCCTCCATCTCATAATATAAGACATTTTTGCATATTATGTTAGGTTGCAAAAATGTCATATATTGTGGGACAGAGGGAGTACCAAATTTCGCGTTGCACAGTCAATTTTGTTCAGAGTTGGAACTTCACTGATACGATTCGCTGCTGCAACAATGTAATGACAGGTTGATGAGGAGATGAAAGTGGAGAAGGCAGAGTACTTCTACGAGCGCGGCAACTTCCAGGCGAGCTTCTTGAGCACACCTGCTGCTGCTGCATCAGCTTCAGGTTGCCCTGTGATGAGAGGAAACTAACTGAAGCACCAAAGAAATTGAAGCATATATGTCGCTAATCAATGCCCTGGATGATCACCTTCATATTTCAATTTGGGCTTATATTCCATTTCGTGACATTACAAATTTACAATATACAATGTTAAAATAAAGCAGCTTATTTGTTCGGTACAAACACAACTTCAGGTGTGCAGGTGTAAGAACTAAGAACCCCCACTTGGTTTGGAGGACATAACTATCGGAAGAGCTACATGCATGAAAATGACTCAAAGCATGCATGGCTACGCAAAATTGGATGAACGTGTATTTCTCTCGAAATAGGCTTTCGCTCCACTTCCTAAATAAAGCAACCAACATGTTTATGCAACAAGTCCATGAGCCGCACCAAAAGTAAAATAGTCTACTGGAGCAATGGCACAACTCCGCCCAAAAAAAGCATAAAAGAAATAGGATAAATGGCCACCCAGTAGCCAGGAGCTCAGTTGATCTGCGATGACACAAGACAGCACACGACAGCAGTCATCGCGTCCACCATGTGTCCATGACGGTCGCGATTCTGCTGTATAGATAGCAGGTGCAAGTGTTGCAAAAATGAAAGGAATTTGAAAATAGAGCCAGAGGTCCGCCTAAGAATGATCCGCTCGATCACTATCATGTTACGCGTTGTCCATAGGGTCCAAGCTAGCGCCGTGAACACAAGCTGGAAGAGGCATCTCCTCCTCCATGTCTAGTTGGCACGGGTTTGGAGGAACCTAGCCAGGTCCGAGGCCTCTAAGTTAGGCCCAGTGCCTCACTTTCAAAGCTCCACGTGAATCTCGCCGTCGTGCAAGAGAAAATAATGTGTGTCCCTCTCTCCGGCGCATCACAAAGGGGGCACAACTTGTCGCCAGGCTCGTGCTGCTTGAATACCTCCGTCCCATATGGGAGGCGATCCTGCAACAATTGCCAAACAAAAATCTTAATCTTCATAGGCATGTGCGCTTTCCAAAGCCAAAATGTCTAGGAGAGAGGTGGCTACTGGCATAAGGCACGGTAAGCTCAGCCAACTGAGAAGATCCCCGAGGGGGAAAGCTGCCAAGACACTGTGTCCCTCAAGAACCGGCGGGAGGTAGCCCGCAAGTTGACCCAATCTACGGTCTCCACAGGCCTAAATGTCCGTCGGAACATGATGATCCATTAGCCGTTGTGGGTCATTGTGAAAACCAACGTCGTCGGATCCGAGCAGATAGAGAACACATCAGGGAACTCCTTACACAGAGGAGATCCGCCTATCCATGGGTCATGCCAAAAATTGGTCCCCTCTCCATTTCCTATGGCTATAGAGATCCCATTGGGTATCTCATGCTTGACCCGCTGAATAGATTTTCAGAACGTATATATCCAATAATAATAACCCAGGAGGCATGAGGTAATAGCCCAACGCGCATACAAGAACAACACATATATCCAATAGTAATATGCGTATATAAATAGGTGCCTAATATACGTACGAATTGCATGTCTGCATGCTGCTAAGAGACAGACTGAAACAATGTTAAGAATGACATTTGAGGTTCATCCCTCTTATGCATGTCCACAACTTTAGACATATGATGAGCCATATATGAAACCATCTATGTAACAACCCTTGCGGATTGAACATGAGGGGATTGGTAGGTGAGAGAGAAGAGGATGAGATCGAGAGCAAGAAGATGAGGAGCAAGTGAGATGCAGATAAACGAGATGAGGGAGTTCTGATATTCCATCCAATGTGAACAGCACATCACCCATGAATACATTAAAGCCTAGCTGGCTGACCTATGGCCCACTTGTCACACGCACACCTAACGACGACTATCCGTCCTCAGCTTCCAATGGCCTTCTTCTTGTTCTTCTTTTCCACTTCAGGCTCGGGCATGTCTGAACAAGAGTGTGTGACATTTGCCCCTCCTTGAGTTGGAGCCACGTCTTCAGCACAATTCGTGCTGGGAAACCGTTGATGCAGAAAGTGATAGTCCTCCTAGGCTGCACTTGCGGGCGACGAAGTGGTCCAATGCACTCCAGGATTGCTTAAGTAACGAGAACCCCAATCGTGAGGTCTAGTGATGTTGGTAATTGGTTCAAGACTGGTGTATGATCCATCGTGAAATGGCTTGAGTTGCGAAACATGAAAGGAGGGTGAATCTTGTTCTCTTGCAGCAAGTCGAGCTTGAATGCGAGGGAGCTGATGTGGTTGCTACGTCTTGAGCTTGCGTTGGTTTTCCCCGAAGAGGAGAGGATGATGCATCACAGTAGCATAAGTATTTCCCTCAGTTTTTGAGAACCAAGGTATCAATCCAGTAGGAGGCCACGCACAAGTCCCTCGTACCTGCACAAAATGATAGCTACTCACAACCAACGCGATTAGGGGTTGTCAATCCCTTCACGGTCACTTACGAGAGTGAGATCTGATAGAGATAATATTTTTGGTATTTTTGGTATATAGATGCAAAGTGAAAAGTAAAAAGCAAAGTAAAAACAAAGCAAGTATAAAAGCGATGGAGATTGATATGATGAGAATGGACCCGGGGGCCATAGGTTTTACTAGTGGCTTCTCTCAAGAGCATAAATATTCTACGGTGGGTGAACAAATTACTGTTGAGCAATTGACAGAATTGAGCATAGTTATGAGGTTATCTAGGTATGATCATGTATATAGGTATCACATCCGAGACAAGTAGACCGAAACGATTCTGTATCTACTACTATTACTCCACTCATCGACCGCTATCCAGCATGCATCTAGAGTATTAAGTTAAAAACAGAGTAACGCCTTAAGCAAGATGACGTGATGTAGAGGAATAAATTCATGCAATATGATAAATACCCCATCTTGTTATCCTCGATGGCAACAATGCAATACGTGTCTTGCAACCCTTTCTGTCACTGGGTAAGGACACCGCAAGATTGAACCCAAAGCAATGCACTTCTCCCATTGCAAGAACTACCAATCTAGTTGGCCAAACCAAACGGATAATTCGAAGAGACTTGCAAAGATAACTCAATCATACATAAAAGAATTCAGAGAAGATTCAAATATTATTCATAGATAAGCTGGATCATAAACCCACAATTCATCGGTCTCAACAAACACACCGCAAAAAGAAGATTACATCGAATAGATCTCCACGGGAGAGGGGGAGAACATTGTATTCAGATCCAAAAAGAGAGAAGAAGCCATCTAGCTACTAGCTATGGACCCGAAGGTCTGAAGTAAACTACTCACACTTTATCGGAGAGGCTATGGTGTTGATGTAGAAGCCCTCCATGGTGGATGCCCCCTCCGGCGGAGCTCCGGAACAGGCCCAAGATGGGATCTCATGGATACAGGAAGTTGCAGCGGTGGAATTAGGTTTTTGGCTCCTGTTCTGATCATTTGGGGGTACGTAGGTATATATAGGAGGAAGGAGTACGTCGGTGGAGCTTCGAGGGGCCCACGAGGCAGGGGGGCACGCCCTAGGGGGGCGCCCTCCACCCTCGTGACCGCCTCTCTGGTTCCTTGGCGTAGGGTCCAAGTCTCCTGGATCACTTTCGGTAAGAAAATCACGTTTCCGAAGGTTTCATTCCGTTTGGACTCCGTTTGATATTTTGTTTCTTCAAAATACTAAAAAAGGCAAAAAACAGCAATTCTGGATTGGGCCTCCGGTTAATAGGTTAGTCCCAAAAGTAATATAAAAGTGGAAAATAAAGCCCATTATAGTCCAAAACAATAGATAAAGTAGCATGGAACAATCAAAAATTATAGATACGTTGGAGACGTATCAGGCATCCCCAAGCTTAATTCATGCTCGTCCTCGAGTAGGTAAATGATAAAAAGAGAATTTTTTATGCGGAGTGATACTTTGGCATAATTTCAATGTAAATCTTCTTAATCATGGTATGAATATTTATATCCAAAAGATTCAAGACAAAAGTTCATATTGACATAAAAAATAATAATACTTCAAGCATACTAACTAAGAAATTATGTCTTCTCAAAATAACATGGCCAAAGAAAGTTATCCCTACAAAATCATATAGTCTGGCTATGCTCCATCTTCCCCACACAAAGTATTTAAATCATGCACAACCCCGATAACAAGCCAAGCAATTGTTTCATACTTTAACATTTTCAAAACTTTTTCAATCTTCACGCAATACATGAGCGTGAGCCATGAGTATAGCACTATATGTGGAATAGAATGGTGGTTGTGGAGAAGACAAAAAGAGGGAACATAGTCTCACATCAACTAGGTGTATCAACGGGCTATGGAGATGCCCATTAATATATATCAATGTGAGTGAGTAGGGATTGCCATGCAACGGATGCACTAGAGCTATAAGTATATGAAAGCTCAACAAAAGAAACTAAGTGGGTGTGCATCCAACTCGCTTGCTCACGAAGACCTAGGGCATTTGAGGAAGCCCATCATTGGAATATACAAGCCAAGTTCTATAATGAAAAATTCCCACTAGTATATGAAAGTGACAAAATAAAAGACTCTCTATCATGAAGATCATGGTGCTACTTTAAAGCACAAGTGTGGTAAAAGGATAGTAACATTGTCCCTTCTCTCTTTTTCTCTCATTTTTTTTATTTGGGCCTTTTCTCCTTTTTTATGGCCTCTTTATTATTATTATTATTATTATTATTATTATTATTATTATTATTATTATTATTATTATTATTATTATTTCGTCCGGAGTCTCATCCCGACTTGTGGGGGAATCATAGTCTCCATCATCCTTTCCTCACTTGGGACAATACTCTAATAATGATGATCATCACACTTTGATTTTTCTTACAACTCAACAATTACAACTCGATACTTAGAACAAAATATGACTCTATATGAATGCCTCCGGCGGTGTACCGGGATATGCAATGAAACATGAGTGACATGTATGAAAGAATTATGAACGGCGGCTTTGCCACAAATATGATGTCAACTACATGATCATGCTAGCAATATGACAATGATGGAGAGTGTCATAATAAACGGAATGGTGGGAAGTTGCATGGC